TAATGAAAATTCTCGAAAGCGTAGTGTCACTATAATAATGGCATTAATAGTGGAGCCTTGACAGCTTGGCGTGTGATGTAGACTATAGTGGGATCGTAGACGGTCATGGTAGGGACTGATAACAGCTGATAGCGACTGATAAGGGCACTAACCATTTGAATTTAACACGTGCGGTATTTACGATGTATTTATGATTATGACTATTATATAGATTACGCCGCTACCCAGCAAGGTTTGTAACTCGGTGAGAGATCGAGGTTACTTGATGTTTTGATATCATTCAAAGCTCGTCCGACCGCCAATAATTTGGGATTCTCAACTAATGATGTACCCGTGGAGGAAAGAAGGTCCGGTGATAACGAAATCTTCTAATGTTGTTATTATCACTTGAGAACATTAGTGAGTACTACTCAATTTTTCGGTTGCCTATCAGCTAAACCTTAATGGTTCATAATTTTCGAGATGGAGAGCAACCGATTGACTCTTCTGAGCGTGGGCATGTGGTGCACGCACTGACGTGCGTAGCCCAACTGGTTAAATGAGAATCCAAGATTGTGAGCTGTCGGATAAGTTTTGCCATGATTGGTATCGAAGCAAAGAGAAACCTTCATTGAATCGCATACTTCGCTGGGTAACGGTCGCAAGCAAGAAGTAAACCAGATTTCATAATATCAGTGCACTTACCCTTCTTGTCAAATGAAACACATCAAAGAATTGAAGATAGATCGTAAATAACAAAGGCGCTAGGATTCAACTGATGATTGGATCTTGTCCTCTAAGGCCTTCTCTATCGACAATGTTCCCATCCTGCCCCATCTACTTCTTCTGATTTTGCTTCCCAAGTCCACGGGATCAGGGATTATGGATTTTTGCTCAGACATTTATTTCGCACAAATCCCGTCATTAGTGGGCGGAATCCGGTCCTACTACCCACCATAAGTGTTCGTATACTGCCGCCTATCTTTCTGCCAAGTTTGAGCGCCTCAGAGCCGATTCGCGCACACCTCGCCTTCTATGGGCGGGGTCCGGTCCCCCACCTACCATAGGTGTTCCGGTCCTTCCGCCTATACTCCTGAAGTCTGAACACCCTAGGGCTAAATTGACAATTTTTGCTAACCCCGTACCCTGTGGCCTGATCCTGCCACCCACCATTACAGTTCCCACCCTGCCTCCGGTACTCTTACCCAATTTGAACTTTCTAGGTTCACTGAAATAAGAGCTATCATTTTCCGCTCAAACATTTATTTTGCGCAAGCCCCGCTTACTTTGGGCGGAGTCCGGCCTTGCAACCCATCACATGTGTTTCCACCCTGCCTCGGGTACTTTCTGACAAATTTTAACTTTCTAGGTTCACAGGGAAAGGAGTTATGAGGGTGGAGTCCGGTCCTGCCACTCACCATATATGTTCCCGCCCTGCCACCTGTGCTTCTACCAAATTTGAACGTCCTAGGTTCAGGGACAGGAGTTATTGATTTCCGTACAAACAGACAGACGGACGGACGGGTAGACAGACACGAGCGCTTTATGTGAAGTAAGGAAGTTTTGCCCGTGACATCACCCAATCCTGTGCATATCCTACCCTAGAAGGAGGAGCTTTGCTGAGCTCAAATGTGTTCTTTTGATCCTATACCCAGCCCATCTCAAACTTGGCACGACTTATGCAGGTGCTTCCTAAGGTAATATCGAATTTCTGCACAATTGAACAAACAAATAAACAATTAGAGCTTCACATAGCGCTTCACATATGATGAGCTGTCGTATAGATTTCGCCTAAGTTCCAAATTTAGAAAACCTTCATCTAGCCACTGAAACATTAGGAAGTGGATATTTCTTCGAAGTGCGCATCTGTGAGCGAAATTCACATCTAAATTTAGAAAATTTGATTAGATTAGTTTTTTATGGTTTTTTATGGATTTTCGACTACGTTTCCATGGAAAATCATGCTTCTATTCTGAAAAATAGGTTTAATACCACAGGAATTTTCGGTAAAAATCCTTCGTGAGCAAAAAGTTTATTTGCCCACGGAGCCTAACCTCTCTTCTCCTTCAGATGGCTGCGAACGGATAGATGAATCCTCCAGTATAGTATAAGGATGTAGCACGGCGGTAAATAACCAGCAGAACGTTTGGTGTATAGGAATTAGGTGATATTCCCCGATTTGAACGATCTGATGCCGCTTTGTGGGTATTGATCTCTTACCACTAATGCATTCTAACCTCCTCTAGTTCTATGGAGTTTGACTGTCCTGCGTCGTGGGAGGCGAACTGTGATTTTTAATCTGTGACATCATAAATAAATCCTAATGAGTATCGCATCAATATCACTATCAGTATCAGTTCATAATCACGTGCCCACGTGATTATTAATTGATACTGATAGTGATATTGATGTGATAGTTGTGAGTTGATGTGAGAGTGTGGCAGTGTGGATGGTATTCAATATGTTTCAAAGCTCACTGTGTCCTCTCATTCCACAGAAGACGCACGGCATCTCTGCTTTACTTTCGTGCTTCATTTCAGGGTTGAAATTCCTTTTATGACAGGAAGAGGAGTCTCTAGTTCCCGTATCATCATCTTCAGATCTTCTCGCCTGAATTGCTTGTTATATTCTCTTCTGAGTCTTTGTATCAACTCTTCCTCGATTTCTTGCCTTCGAAGTCTATCTGGTTCTTTCTGAACCACTTCCACCTCTCGGGGTCTGACTTCTTCCTGTGGAATGACCATTACATCCGAGTCCGTTCCCTCTTCTTCCCCTAAGGCATCGTCCACCTCCACCAGTTCCTCTACCTCCATCGCCTGCTGGCCCTTGAGGTCAATATTTACTTCTTCTCCGAGTAGGGACTCAAGAAATGCCGAATTTTCTTGGATCCTTGCCTATTCTTGTTCGCGACTCTCGATGGAGCGATCCGAGTCTATGGATTTGTCGGGGTCTACCAGTTTAGATACATTCATAGATCCTTCCTTTCCTGCGTTGCGGTGATTCCCTTCTCCCGGATTCTTCTCACCTGTTGCGTCTTTCTTCTCGTCAGAATGTTCAGAGTCTAAATGACAGTGGTATTTGAATTCAATTCCATACTGGAGGCTGAGATCGCTTGAGACGCCTCCCCCGGCATTACTGTTTCCCTCGGCCGAGATGGATGTGTAGGTGGTCTAGCTGCTCCTTCATGGATGTCAGTTTCTTCGACACTTTTATTTCGAATTTCTGAGTCTCTATTTTCTCTTTTCTTCCAACTTAATCATCAAGCAGGTCTACCTGTCTGAAGGTTTTATCTATGGTTTGGAAATGAGTCTGAATTTCTTGTTTTACTTGCGTAGAATTCGTGTTGATCGGTATTTCATCGATATCGAGGAGAGGCTGAGCCATCATTTTGGTCCATACTTCTTCGTCCATTTTTTTTGTAGCGATCATGAGTTCTGGGTAGATCAGTAGGTCATCGAGTTGCGTTTCGTATAGAAGAAGTTGGTATTGAGTCTTCCAAGCCGTTGTTTGTAACAGCTCCATATGGAGAGAACTGTCGATTTCTCCTTCCATTGTTCTGCGAAAGTGATCCACTTGTGTGCTCAGTTGGTTACGGATGCCTTCATGGCGTGAATCTCGAAGAGTAAGTCTACTATATGAGCATACCAGTCGGGCTGCCCGGCTAACGCCGGGCTTCCCTCCTTCTAATGGGTTCGCCCGGCTACGCCGGGCGCTCCTTCTTCCTGTGAGAAATTTGCTATGTATAAGTAGCACTTCGGATTCTCCTTTTGCTTTGAAAGCTCTATACCCTCAGTATTAGCTTCGAATTGGGAGCGATTTTTTTCTGTAAGCCAACCTCGCTGTGTCCGAAAGAACATCGTTTAATATCACAAAGGCGATTATTCAGAGAAAAAAGTATTCAGAGACTTCATCGCGGCTGAGGCTATTATGTTAGCTACCATCAATGTTCCTCAATGCCATCATCAAGGGCTCTCCTCCTTCTTGGGGCAAAGGGTCTTTGCCCGAAAAATATCGAATTAATGAAATTTCCCCTTTTTAATATGTTATTTCGCTTTTTCGCTGAGCGAGAGTATTGACTATCAAATGCCTTCAAAGATGTACCTCTGCTCTTACGGATACATCATTAAATGTGAATCCAACTTTATCACCGGTCGGATAAACTTTGCTAAGAATGATATCAAAGCAAAGAGAAACCGTGATCTTTTAATTAATCGCAAACTCTGCTGGGTAGCTGTCGTAATCTAATAGCAAGAAGTGTGCCAAATTCATCTCCTTATAATCACACAACTTAACCTTCTTGTCGAATGGAATATATCAAAAAGTCAACGCTAGATGGTAAATAACAAAGGTGCTAGGAGGTAATTGGTGTGTGGATCTTCTTCTCTAAGGCCTCCTCTATCGTCAGTGTTTCCATCCTGCCCCCTCCTATTGATTGCTCTCCAAGTCCACGTGATCAAGAGTTATGGATCCAACTTTTCCACTCCACTCCACTCCACGCACTCATTTATTTCGCGAAATCCTGTTCCTTAGGGCGTAGTCCGGCCCTACTACTCACCATAAGTGTTTCCATACTGCCTC